GCCCTGGGAGACAGCATGCAGTGCCCTGGGAGACAGCATCACTGCCCTGGGAGACAGCATGCAGTGCCCTGGGAGACAGCATCACTGCCCTGGGAGACAGCATGCAGTGCCCTGGGAGACAGCATCACTGCCCTGAAACCCTGAGTCACACCCGGGCTGCGTCACCAAGCATAGCCTGCTAATTGTGTCAGGTCTGTCTCTCTTGTTTCCAGTATTACTCATTGAGTGCCACTATTTACCTTGAAACTTTGTTACGTTTGTTACTTTCTTTGAGTATGAAAAACAAACAGCTAGGTTGCATTTTTTATTTTTTTTGTCAATCCATTAAAATAACAGTTTTGCTGGTTCCACAGACTGGTGTGAGGCTGGTTCTTCTTTACTGATAATATCAGTATCTTTAATTTTATCTCCATGATGCACACAAGTTATTTTCACCCCGTTTAAAAGGCAGGGTGAAAAAGTGGCACATTTCGCCAGCCCCAGGTCCATTAAAGGTTTTGCAGGAGATGCCTGGAGAGGTGATGTATCCCTCTCATTGCCCGCAGACATTCCACAGCTCTGCGACTCGGCTCATCCACACCATATGACTGAGGAATAACTCTCACATCTTTAGTGTAAATCTAGGTAAAAGCAATAAATATGGGCCCTACTGGAGTAAAAAATGCAACGATAATGCTGTGAGCATAAAGCAGTTTGTACACTTCAGTAGCAGTAAGTCGTCCCTTCCTCACAGTACAGAAGCCTTTGGAAGCCTGTGCTCCTGTAAATCGAGAGGGTTCTGGACTCACGGGAGTTCTGTTCTTGATTCAGGTGATGTCACTGGCGAGAAGACCCTCCCCCCACCTGCTCTGCCATATAAAAGGTTGTTGTTGTGCAGCTGCACCACATCACACTCTCACCGGAGCGCAGGGTAGCCTGTGCTGACTGCCTCTTTGGCTCCCAGGGGGTGTGTTAGAGGATCTCTGTGAATTGCTGGGAGAGGCGGGACCCCGCGGGGCGCCAGAGACCATGTCTGTGGGGCTGGAGATAGTGGGGATCGCCCTGGCCGTGCTGGGCTGGGTCATCGCCATCGTGAGCTGCGCCCTGCCCATGTGGAGGGTCACCGCCTTCATCGGCAGCAACATCGTGACGGCGCAGATCATCTGGGAGGGATTATGGATGACCTGCGTGGTGCAGAGCACCGGGCAGATGCAGTGTAAGGTCTACGACTCCATGCTGGCGCTGTCGCAGGACCTGCAGGCGGCCCGCGCCCTCACCGTCATCTCCATCCTACTGGCCCTCTTCGCCCTGCTGGTTGCCATCGTCGGGGCCAAGTGCACCAACTGCATCGAGGACGAGACGTCCAAAGCCAGGGTGATGATCATCTCCGGCATCGTCTTCATCACTTCTGGCGTCATGCAGCTCATCCCGGTGTCCTGGTCAGCCAACACCATCATCCGGGACTTTTACAACCCGCTGCTGACGGATGCCCAGCGGCGGGAGCTGGGCACGGCGCTCTACATCGGCTGGGGGGCATCCGCCCTGCTCATCATCGGCGGTGCCCTGCTCTGCTGTTCCTGCCCCCCTAGGGAGCAGAAATATAACTCCACCAGGATGGCATACTCAGCCCCACGCTCAGCCGGGGGGGGCACCTATGACCGTAAAGACTACGTGTGAACTACAAAAATATATATTTGTAAATGTCTGAAAATCCCTAACCCTTCAACTAAGGACCAAACCAACCAAGGAAGAGGAGCAAGCTAACAAGAAAGAATGACAGAGATATCGGTTCATTTTGCACGTTTGTGACATTTTGTTTTAGTTTAAAGCTTTTTGCATTTGTAGAGTTTATTAGTATGTTGCTGTGAGTTTCTGTACATCTCCGGGCCGGTATCTGTCCTGACTTCACATTTAAACACACAGTGTTCAGTCCAAGGACTGGCACATACTGGTACAGAGATTCTTTGCTGGGATGTGGCGTTAAAAATTTCAACTAATTTCTCTTTGTCACTAACTTTTGATAGGTAGATGTTGACATGGACATATTTAAGAATAATCTTTGCAAGAACTGTATCTTTTTATGAAAAAATGAGATGTTTTTCTTGTCCCTTGGTGTTGTTGCTGTGTTAAACTAGGGTGACACAAAATGTTATGCAACAATGATCCAAATGGTATACACACTGAATGTCACATAACCAATGTAGAAGTTTGTAGATAAGAGTGATGTGTGTAATGATTTTAACAATAAGCTCCTCAGATGACTTGAGAGTAACTTTCTCCCCTAATATGTTTGATTTTCAAATTATCTGTTCTGTTTACTTCTTTTTAAATCAGTTATGTTTACCCAGCAACGTGTATACAGCTTTGAAAATGTGTTTTGTTTAGTTTTGTGGTTTGTAAATGAAATTGAGTAAATGAGCAGATTGTGAAATAAAGACCATAGAGACTCCTGGCATAAACTGCAAGTCAGACGTGAGTCCATCAGTAACAAGATGGTCTCTGTTCTTCGACACAAAGAAGCGCTCAGGAGGAGGTGCAGTGGGGAGGCACGGCGGAGGACGCGAGGGGGAGGTGAGGGTCTGCCTCTAGGTGTGTGTCTCAGCGTATGAAGGGAGGGTCCCTGTGCACGCCTCACTCTAGAGCAGGCTGAAAACATGTGCTAACAACGCGGAGTCTTTGTTTCAATAAAGCCACTTATCGTATTTCACGTATTTCACGTTTGACGTGTATTGTTTTTCTTTTTAAAATTACATGACTCACGGCATCTAGCGAGACTGAAATATTCATCAGCTTCTCATATTAATTATGGGCGACGCCCAATTAGACTCGGGCACATCGCCTTGGCGGGACACCTGGGTCTTTTCTGTTACACCTACATCTCTACGACAAAAGCAAGACGCGCTCATGTCCAGCGTCTCGAATTCCCCCGTCTACATTTCCAAACAATTAATTCCCAAACAATACACCTAAAAAGTAATCAAGGTGTAATAACTACAGCCAAAGCCTGTTATCAACAATGAAGACGGTGTAAATACATTGCCTGCCAATTAAAATTTATTAAAGATAAAATAATAATTTGGTTGGTTTCTTCTTATATTACAGGTAGGGTCTACCTTTTCGTTTACATAAAAATGTACTGCATTCAAAAACAGAGTATGTTTGTGCACGAGATAAATAAATCCTGAAACTATGTAGATCGCTAAACTGTAAAACGTCATAAAAGGAAATATGAAAACGATCCCCATACAGTCCAAATATGAATACACGACCAAAAAAAAAAAAAAAATTATATATGTCATCATATAAAAATATCAGTAATGATTTTACACTCCTCGGACACTCCTCTCCCAGAATTAAAATTCAGTATTCAGTTGTCTAAGTTTTCAAGATCAGCCAGCCTGCCAGTGCGTCATTTGCAATTATAAACCAAAGGCTTAAATTCTTAAAAGGATGCCAGTACGTGGAAAGTACCCAGAGCGGATATTGTGCTCGTTTTAAATAATTCCCCCCGGCTAAAAACTTGCCGGTTGGATTTCAAAAGGTCGAGAAAACTATCCAAAAACAAAGTACAGTGAACTTAAATAAATAAACCAATAGGTACGTATACTCAGTAAACAACCTGAGATATGATATGAATATGATATGACGAATAATGAAGACCATCATTTTGTATTTGAGATTGAATTAAACAACCATAGACCATCGGCATCTGCGGGAAAACACATTACCTCTGGAAGTTTTTTTGTGTAGCACACAGACTTTGTTAGGGTTTGATTTGGCTTTTTACGCAATTGTAAGTGATTTGTAATTGTGTTGTCAAGTCATAAGGAGGATCGACTGCACTAGATGTCGATTAAGTGGGTGCAGCCTTCCAGGCTGCTGGTTGCCATAGACGCGAAGCCCCCGGGAGAGCGGCTCTCTGCTTTCCGTCGAGGGGTTTGACGTTATTACTCGATCAGCACGGACATAATGAGACAGCGCCATGAATATGAGTAACAATATCGAGCTACGGCGTACAAATATCATCCAGAATTACAGTTTAATATGAAGTCAAAAATTCCTATGTAAAACTATGATGAGAGATATCAGAATATGACCATATTTTATCATAACTAAACTCCTGAAGTGCAAAATGCACTGTTTACTAACATTAAACAAATAATTTTCTCACAATAACCACACTTAATAATCACACACAGCCGGGCTCCAGTTTTTTCCATTTCCGCTTCTTAAAATAATTTGCAAAGTTCTGTCGAAGGGCAAGATCGATGGACCTCATTTCTGTTTGAGTAATAAAGCTTTAGAAAAAGACAGCACTTCCCAGATGAACACCGAGCACAGGTAGACCGATCAGGGTTTGGCTGCTGCCGCCGGAGCGACGTTCCCAAACGGTGTAACCCGGCCCGAATCCCCGTGCTCTCCGGATAGGGTAACCAGCAAACTGTGAGTATTACAGAACCAGCTCTAGACTTTTGCTTTCAGTTCTGCATAATATCCTAAGGGAAAACTGAATTATTTTCTAAGAATCTTTTCTTTTGAAATATGTGTTTTAAGAGAGCAGAAACCCACAACAACAAATCAAACATTCTCAAATTATTATAAAATAAATGGAGTGAATATTTTAGCAGAGGCGTGGTCGCTGGTTGTGGGACAGTTGGCTGGGTTGACTATACACTTACAGTGTGACACAGATCATCGCTGTTTGGGGTTTTCTGAATTTGCACATGAGAAAGACAGATGAACTCTGATGACCTCAGTAAAACTAGAATCACATGACCGATACCTCTGAAGGGATAGAATGGGGTGGGGGTCGGTTGCTAGGCACCAGGCATAAGGAGAGAAGGGTCTTTGCCGATAGCTCAAAGGAAACAGACTGTCTGTCACCTCGCGGTGCAAATAGCTTAGTTATCATGGGTGGCCTTGATGAAACATTAACACAGAGACTGAAAACGCAACTGACCTTGTCTGATTAGCTAGATAACGGTAATGCAGTGAGTGTCACCAACCCAACATAGAGAAGGTATTTCTGAGAGGTTTCACACGACTCAGCAGAAATCCAAAGTGAAAGCAGCTTCAGTTCAACACTGCAAGGAGCGCAGCATTTCAGAGGATGCCATTCGGTGGCCATACTGCGCCGGATCCCTGTGACTGCACTGGATTAACGGTTGGAATGGATGCATGAATGGAATGTGTTATGCACTGGGGGTTAGACGTTACATATTCTGACACACCTTAACAGTCATAAAAACTTTCATGTGGTTGTATTCCACACACACACACACGCACACACCCAGTTGCTCTCTTTAGAGCATCAAGTGACAGCTCTGAGCCATCGGGGAGTGGTAGGGAACGTGGCAGCTCTGTACTTATTTATAGGAGCACAGTCCAGCTTCATTGCTCTAATCTTTTGGTTGCAGAATGATACTGCTGCTGGGCCCTTTAGCCAGGCCCTCATCCACAAAAACGGCCCTGGAAAATGGGGGAAATTAATGACCCAGTGCCCGATCCAGGCTTCCCTTTCACCTGTCTGTGTGTGAGTCTGACAGGACAGCAAGACGGGCTGTGTGAGTGTCTCACAGGAGAGCAAGACGGGCTGCATGTGTGTCCCACGGGAGAGAAAGACGGGCTGTGTGTGTGTTTCACAGGAGAACAAGACAGGCTACATGTGTGTCTCACGGGAGAGAAAGACAGGCTGCATGTGTGTCTCACAGGAGAGCAGGACAAGCTGCATGTGTGTCTCACAGGAGAGCAGGACAGGCTGCATGTGTGTCTCACAGGAGAGCAGGACAGGCTGTCTGAAAACCAAAGAATTTCAGTGTACCTACATCTGTACTCGTATAAATGTAAAATGAAACACCGTTAACTATCTTTACACATGTAATTGTCAACTTTGTTTGTCTACGGTGGCACAATTTACTGTCAGCTGCTGTATTACCCTCCTGTATTTATTTGACGTTATGATTTGCAGGAAGAATTTAATTATATTATGTACACATGGCAATAAAAGACCTTTGTACTTTCGGCCTGTTTGGCTGTGACACCATTTATATGTGTCTATTTACCTGCCTTTTCATTCGTTTGTTTGTTTCATTTCCACTCCTCAATATTCTGTGTTTTTCATAATTGTTTTTTGTGTAAAAATATACTTTCTAATTTGTCTGTACTACATTTCCTTCTTTGCACTATCTGCACTGTCTTTGCACTTTGTTTTGCTCTGTGCGTGTTGCCCTACTTCCTGGATCACTTATGATAGCTTGGGCGGGAAAAGCCAATAATAGATCAGGGGGTTTATTAGTGTACCGATGCTAAGCGTGTACACCAGGAGATCTGATTGCATTTGTTTACATAAAAGAACAACGAATATGGGTCATAAACTTTACCCACCTATAATTTTATGCTTCATACAGTGCTTCATAGGCTTCTCCACCCCTGGAGAACGTGACGACGCCGCATTGTCTGTGATCAGTCAGGAGCTAAGATCCTCTGCAGGGAGACTCCACAAGCTGCTCTCAGATAACCGGCTCACCTGAACAGGATATTCTTTTCGTAGAAACAGCATGACTGTCAAGAGACAACGTCATTGCTAAGTGAACCAAACAAGGGCCAAAGGTTCAAAGTTCTTTTATTGCATAGTAAAGTACAATGACATTTTTACACGCTTGCTTCATACACCTAGTGGACTACGCATAGTAATGTAACAAATTGGTTTACCAACTCCTGGCTAACATTTTAAAAATAACAAATGATGACAAATAAAGAATAATGGCCGCCGTGGCTCCATGCATGTGGAGTTTGCATGTTCTCCCCATGTCATCATGGGGTTTCCTCCAGGTCCTCCGGTTTCCCCCCACAGTCCAGAAACATGCTGAGGATAATTGGAGTTACCAAATTGCCCAGAGGTGTGTATGTGTGTGTGAATGGTGGGTGAGCGTGCCCTGTGACGGGTTGGCGCCCCATCCTGGGTTGTTCCTTGTTTGCCTCCCCAGCTTCAGATCCCTGTGACCTTGCATTGGACAAGTGGGTATAGAAAATGGATGGATGATGAAATGTTGATTAATTTTTTTCTAATGCTTTCTGAATCATAACTGAAAAGCAAGATCACATAATTATTCTGAATTACTTGAGGCAGTCTGTGACTCAGCTATGCAATGAATGTGTTGACATGTTAAAAAACTGTCACCTGTCACATAACCGTCCCATCAATATTGATATTTTTGTAAGAAAGATCAAGTGTGCGTCTTGTCAGGTGTCTTTATGTTGTTATTTTTGCGGAACCAATGTGCACTGTGATTCTTACACTTTGTTACTATCTTTATGGAAGGAGAAGTTAATAGTAAGGCGGTAACAAGAAGTCAAAAGGCCACACACAGGTACAGCAGGATAATCGCTAAGGTTTTTTGTTGATAAGAGTGAGACACTTCGTTATTCCAAAAGAAAATGACAATTAGATTTTCAGAAAAAAACATTGCATCAGGTGCAGTTTTCATTTCCCCCCACACACATAAATAATGTCACGGTTAATACGGGAAAGATGTGACATCCCGGAAAATACTTTTAAAAAAATCCACAATCAGGTTTCAGTTAACATTCTGGCGTTCTTTACCTGTAGCTGACGTTCGCTGAGCAGCACTGGCCGTTAATTACAGGGGAGAATCTGTCTAGCGGAGCGCAGCCGTACTG